CCTCTCTCTCTCTCTCTCTCTCTCTCTCTCTCTCTATATATATATATATATATATATATATATATATAGAGAGAGAGAGAGAGAGAGAGAGAGAGAGAGAGGTAAAAAAATGACGGGAAATAAATTCTGGATTATTTGTCTAGCAGTTATGGACTTACGAGAGTACCATACATTAGATTTCCCAGTACAAGACCTCTGATCCCATTAAAGGAAGGAAAACCTACCGAATGCAGATCATTCCTACAAGATAATGCACATTCAATCGATACACTAATTCGGGTCCAACCCAAAGTCTAATATCTTCTTTGGGGGTGTATTGGTGCTCATTAAATGAACCAGCTTAAAGAATCACTGATCAGATGAATTGAAGAATTCATGAAGCAAATGGCTGTGTTTTGAAAATAGAATGTCATTGTGGTTCCCTTGGAACGAGCTACTGTGTAGTTGCACATAAAAAACATCCAACGGGGATACCAGTGTTTGCAGGAACTTATCATAGGGGGGTTTACTGAGGCACAAATACTATCAACAAACAGAGATAAAATTGTCCCTATCAGATAGAAAGGAGGTCTATACAAATTGATTTTTGTTGGAAGTAAATTAAATATTTGGAAGTTGTGGGAAAGGGATTGTAGCCAAAATGCTGTTTTCCATTTTAGTAGCTAACAATTTTATTGAACTGCTGTTGTATACTATTACACAGCTGGGAAATTTATAACATGATAAATACACAAAGATGAGTACAAATTGGAATGGACTCTATCAGCAGCTGATAGAGAATATCAAAGAGATAGAAGAGATAGAGTTTGTTTGTTTTTTGTCAATAAGAAACAATACTTTTATTAATAATAAAAGCACAAGGTTACAAAAACCAATCATTGGTGGACAAGTAGTCCAACCCAAGATTGAATGCCTTCCAAAGGCAAAGAAAAAACATTAGCGCATAAAACTCAAAAACACAATCCGCAAAATGTTGTCCAATTTGCAATAATACTAAAAGGAGACATATTTTCAAACTCCATAGTCACAATGTCCAAAATGAAGCCAAGAAGTGTAGCTGGTCCCCCATTCAACTTCTTTCCTCTTATGTTCGAAAATTCTCGCATTTCTTTTCCTTCATATCCCAAAAGGGAGCCAAAAAAAGCACATGACAAAGAGTCTTACCTCTTTCCCCTCATCCCAAACTACTAAAATCCACACTAAGCATAAATATCATTGATTTTGGAGCCACCCAAGAAATACAAACAAACTGAAACAATGTATTATATAGTGAATGTGTCAAGGGACAATGCAAGAATAAGTGGTCCACATTCTCAGCATCACCCTTACACATAATGCACCAATGCGATGAAAGACAATTCAGAAGTTTTCTTTTTTGAAGCATATAACTGGTATTAATCTTCCCATGCGTAACTGTCCATGCACAAATTTACAACTTTAAAAGCACTCGAGCCCTCCAAATCTTCTAATATGGAAGAAATAAAAGAAGTGAAGGATCATCAATTAGAGATTCAAAATAAGATTTGCAAGAAAAAATACCCAAAGGATTACTAATCTAGATTCTTTCATCCAAATGGAGACAATAAGAGATCATTAAGCATGGAAAGATGCCCTACAAATTCAGAATACTCTCTATCATTAAGGGTCCTACGAAACCCAAAATCTCAAGTACTCAAAGATGAATACAAAGTAACTAAAGAAGCAATGTATCTACCATGTTAACAAGAAAGACGATAAAGGTGAGGAAAAAAAACTGGAAAAAAAAAGAAGACTCTCCCGCCAAACATCCTCCCAAAATCGCACCCTGGACCCATTCCCCACCATAAACCTAACTCTTTGAAAGTAACTAGGTAACCTATGGGCTTTGGAAGGACCCTATGGACCTTATTGGCATCCCGCTCATTACCTCTAAACCAGGTGTTAATCATGGAGGAGACTGAGCTTGTTTGAAGAAGCTGAAAACGCGGTTTGTGGCGTGGATAATAGCTTTGCTAGAATATCAACTACTCTATCTTGGGTGGACAGAAAATTGATTTGGAGATTTCCTTTGGCCACATTGTCACTAATGAACAAAGAGAAATTTAGTATGCTTCATGTAATTGTAGAGGATGGGGTTTGCAATGAGGAAAGCAGTGTCAATATTAGCACACCACAATGTTAGGTGTTGAGGCTGTGGAACATGGAGCTCTTTGAGAAGGGACTAGAGCCACAGAGTTTTAGAGGTAGTGTTAGCCAAATCCTTATATTCTGCTTTGGTGCTAGAATGGGTGATGATGCGCAGTATACTAGAGGAGGTCGATTATATACCACCATTGATTGATGAGAAGACCATTGGAAATATTGAGAATGTTGCGACTCAAATCCTCCATAGTAGAACCAAGCAAAATAGGTTGAGTGTGCTCAAATTCGGGCGAACTTCCTATGAAAATAAAGTCATCCAAGTAAACTAAGACATATAAGGTCGAATAAGACGTCTTCTAAATGCAGACAGAAAGATTGATTTTGGAAGTTGCAAATCCTTCACTATGAAAAAATTGCTAAAATGCCCAAATTAGGCACGGGATGCTTGTTTGAGGTCATAAAGAGATTACCATAAACGACATACATGATAGAGGCGTAGGAGTCAACGAAACCAAGAGCTTGTTTCCTATAGACCTCTTTATTGATAGGGACCTCTTTATTAATATTGTGGGAATAGTGGCTAGTTCGATGGCAAGGCTAAAAATGTCAGTGTAATTGATGCCCTCTTGTTGACTAAATCCTTTAGTGACAGAGCAAGCCTTATATCATTCAATGGTGCCACCTGCTTTGCGCCTGATTTGAAAAATTCACATGTAGCCTACAATATTGGCATTGGGAGGTGGTGATTGAAGAATTCCCGTGCCATTTTGAATTGACGCATTGTGTTCAGTGGCCATGTTTACCAGCCAATGAGGATCAAGTTGAGCAATGGTGATACTAATTGGGAAGCTATTAACGTTGGACAGAAAAGAGTAACTTTGTAGCTAGGGTGCTTGGTCACAAAATTGAAAATTTTGGGACACCGGGTTCCATCCTATGACCAAGTGATCATGGTGTCAAGATTGTATTTATATTTATACTTATTTCTCATTATGAGTATTTTAGTCTCTCTTATAGTAGCGTAGTAAACTACTTTTCTCTTTCTCGTCTTCTTATGTATGGATATTCTTATTTGCAAATTGTTTTGAGCTTTCACATAGGATGGACGGGAGGGTCGTGGTTCTATTGAAGCGAGTGCCAAAAGGCCCTAGTGAGACTGAAGCGGCGTTAGACACAGCTTCTATGGGTGTTATGTCAGTCACTGGTCAAGGATTTGAAGCACCTAGTGCTTTTGTGGCGGTTATGCAGCTAGCGCAAAGGGGAATACAAAGGAGTTGTTGCACAGGGTACACTATAGGTGGAGGAAGAAGATGGATAACAACAGTGGATGGTGGGTCAAATTGTCGAGACTATGTTGCTGCCGAACCAGGACATCGATAGCCATGCTGTTGGGGGCTATAACCAAAAGAGACATAGCGAGTGGATCGAATTGACATGCTGGTGACTTAGGGTCGGAGACATGACTAGCAGGCACACTTGAAGACCTTTAAAAAAAAATTCCAGCAGTATAAGATTGTGAAGAACTTTGGAAGGAAGGCTGATTGATGAGATACATTGCTATCTCAAATGCAAAATCCCAAAATGTAAAAAGAAGTGAAGCATAAGCCATGAGGGCAAGGCCTGTTTCTATAATATGACAATGCTCACTTTCGGTGGCCCCATTTCTTTGGTGGGTGTGTTGACATGAAATCTGATGACCAATTCTACATTGGGTGAGATAAGGCGAAACTGAATAAAATTCTTCACCCCAATCAATGGGAAAGCCTTTTATTGGAATGAAAAGATGAACATATCGTCTTCAAGTGGGTTTAAACAGTGCGAAGAGCCAAATAATCTAGTCATTGATGTCACTGTTCAATTACATCATGAAGAAGGGCAACTTTATTTTGGGGGTGAAGGAAACTTGAGGCTGTTGGAGAACAATAGAGCTCGAGTCGTGGAGCAGAACATTCCCGTGTGAATGTTCTTAACACAAAATGAGACGGGTGAAACTCAAACCAATAATTATTTTCCTTGGCGAATTGATGCACGAAGTGAAGGATGTGTTTGACATATGGGACATGTAAAATATTTTGTAATACAAAAGAATTTTGAGTTCGAAAGGAGGAGGGGCCGGTGTGGCTAATTTTCAAACCTACACCATTACTGATTTGGACAATGGTGCTTTCATGTAGTCGAAAGTAATGTCTAGATTAGACAGATCTGAAGTGTGATAATGGTTTGCACTTGGGGTGCCAAATATCCAAGGAAGCATGATAAGCATGGGTCAAAGTCTATGGAGTAGTGTATTGAAAAGTCTCATTGAAGCGGTTGTGATAGTGGAGTGATGTGTGGCCAATACGATTGTAAAACTAACAAATGGGTTTATGATTAGAGTTAGAAGCAGAACCAAAAAACAAAGCATTGTAGAATCCATTGGAATGTTACGGGTAGAACGACGGCCACCATGTTGACATTTGCCTTAGCCACGATATTGTTAAGGATGTCATGATGAGCTAAATTAGCGAGGAACGTCAGAGGCAACGACGTGTTGAGCAAGACAGATTTCTTCAAAATAGGATGGCCTAATAAATCTTGTAAGGGGCAAGGAATTTGTACAAATAACAATTGTGGTACGAAATGCATCACATTTAGATCGCCATCCAGCGATGGCCAGTTGATGAGCCATTTTCTTTGCCCGATAAAAATAATGGTGAGCAGAGGCAAAACCATTCTTGATGGATTGGAATTTCATACACAACTTGAGGATTCGATCGCACGAATGAGCCGCATAAGAGGTGAGATGGGTTGACCATATGATGTGATAGGTAGTAAGCCCAATGCATGCGCATTAACATCGTCAATGAGTTATAAAAGGAGCCAATCACGTAATAAACCCATCAACATAGTCGAGAACTTGGTGTCCACGAAGATGAGGCATAATTTGAGAAACAAAAAGAGGGTAATTAGTTTCATCATGTTTTGTAGCTAGAATTGCGGCAGTAGCAAAGAGAGTGGGAAAGGAGGGACGGAGAGGACTGATAGAAGAGCTGTTGTAGTGGATGAAGTGCTCATGATGAATTTTTTATTTTACTCAAAGTGTCAGAATTATTTCTGATACCAAGAAAGAACTACAAAAGTTTTATTGAATTGTTGCATACAATTACACGGCCAGGAAATATGTAGTATGCTAAATCCACAAAGATGAGTACAATTTGAATTAGACTCTATCATCGGGTGATAAAGAATCTCAACTAAATAAAAAAGATAGTTTGTTTTCTATCTCAATCCTATCTTTAATACCTTGATATTCAATTTATACTATTCTCTCACCTCTGGGGCTAGTTAACATTTGTATTATCAAAGTATTTCAGTGTTTTGAATGATGGTTCTAAAAGTTTTACATTGAATGAGAACAAATTCAAGACTCATAAAACTTCATATCTATATAATAAAATATGACTAAATTTTAATCCTAAACTTATGTCAAGTTTTTCATGTCTCAAATTGTTTTAGAATTATTAATTCAATGATCCTAATTGATATCCAAAATAGTTTTACGCTCAAACCCTAACTCTCGGATTGTCATTCCATACATGTCTCTCTCTCACACCCACGCCTCTTCATGCCACAACACCACCACTCAGAAAACACTAGCAGCAAACCCTCTCCTCTCCACACCTTTCTTCCCTCTCATCTCCCCTCTCTCAACTGCCACAACTCAAACCAGCCTAGCAACCCACGCCAGCAGTCAACCATCAACGTCACTCCCGCAATCATCAGCAACCCATCTTGCCACCCGTAGCAACCCTCTGAACACCACTCAATAGGTTCGTCTCCCCTCACCCTAGGTTCGTCTCCCCTCACCCTCTATCCATTTCTTTATACTCCACTCTCTGTGCGCACATAATTCTTTCATAACGATTATCTCTACCCTCACTCTTTGTTTCTGTCTTATGCCAACCGATGCCACCCATCCAATCCTCTTCCACCCACTACCATGAGGTCAGGACATATAGCCACAAATCCCCTTTCCCTGAAGCATATCCCCCAAAAAAACTAAATGGGGGATCAACATATTGATGTGAACAGTGAAGAGACGTGCAATTCGCAAAAAAATTAGTATTTTTGATTTTTTTTTATTTTCTAAAAATAAATTTGATATTTTTAATTTTTTTGATTCCTGTGTGTGAGGAATATGGTATTTCTAGTTTTTAGACTTCTATTATGTTGTTTTCTATATCAAGAGCATGTGGCAATTGGGATGACTGATAGGTTGTGGAGTATTGCTTTGTATGTGTTGGTTTGACATCCTTGATGTAACGAGCATTTGGTTGATGCTCCCTTTCTCTCACCCGCACTTCTGTAACTTTATTTTAATTGGATAAAAAATCTGGTGATTGCTATTGCATAGGTGATATCCGGAATGAAGTCAAAAAAGAGCAGAAAGTGTACTCAACTTATACCCTTTAATACTTAAGTCATGTTTAAGATTGAGAGGATAAGTAAACTGTCCAAAGGCTAATTTCACATGCATACTTGAGTTCTATACCCTCAAGTATTGTGACGAGGCAGCCAATTGAGTGCATCAAACCTAGGCCTGACAATCTATGCCCGAAATCCCTCCCTGAAGGCTATCATATTAGCAACCTCCGGTCATTGAACCGTGTAATAAGTGCATCCAGTCATGTCTTACTAATGCTTGATGGCGGGTTGGAATCATGACTTCAATGCTAGGGAGATAAGCATTTATTATTTTCCGCCCCTTAACCATTAAATAATCCTAAATATCAAGTGGTTTATGCCGAGCATTCAAGCTCCCAGTGCTTATTCACGTCCACAAGAGTTATGTCTCTTTCTACTTTTTCCGGGGTTTTGGTATTGGGCTCAATTTGACGTGACAGAGTAATAATCACTTATCATATCTACACACTACACGAAGCGCCCTTCCCAAGGACAATTAATACTTGGCGTTGTCCGATAACGTGTTCCTTCATCATGCTCACTTGGACCTGAGCGTGCTTGTCCCTTGGTCTCTTTCTACATATGTGCTTGATGGTGGTGATTTGGTGGGTGGTTTTCTTCGATGATTGAGTAGTGGAAGTGATTTTGTGGTTTGATTCTTAAGGTTGTTTTGTGTGATTTACTTCAGTATGAACCAGCCAAGACGGGTGGATTGCAAACTTTGGATCTAGCAAAAGTAATTAAAAAATGAAAAAAAGAGAAATAGATGATCAGATCATCACAAAAGTTAGTAGTGCATATTGAGCCTCTATGCAAAGTTTATTGATGTTTAGTTTTTGACCCGATTTCTTATTGTGATTTTCTGATTCAGTTTTAGTAGGTTGTTTGAAGTATAAGAAAAATCGATTGATTTTTAATTTTTGACTCAAGTTTTATTTTGATTTCAGATGTTGGTTTCTGATTTTTTATTTTTTGTACTCGGTGGTGATCAAGTGGTTAACGTTTTGCAAGTTTTAGGAGATTGGTGATTTGTTTATGTTGGTTTAGTAGTGGGTGCTTTACAAGAGTTGATTCGTGTTAAATGTTAAATGTGTGCCTACTATCATGTTGCATTTGTTCAATATGGGTGCATTTCTTTCCTTTAGATTGGTCTTTGTTGTTAGAATTTCTATAGTTTGCATATTCTTTTAATGGGTGCTAAATTGTCGTCTTCTTTATGTGATGAAATTAATAGAATGGTAGCGAATTTTTTGTGGGGGGGAAAAGAATGATGAGAAAAGGATACATTGGGTAGCTTGCGAAAAAATGTGTACTGCAAAAGCTCGAGGGGGTATGGGTTTCAGAGACCTGGGAGCTTTCAACCTTGCTACGCTAGCTAAACAAAACTGGAGACTAATCAAGAATCCAGAATACATGCTTTACAAGGTGTTAAGAGCAAAATATTTTTCCACTTCCTTGTGGGAGGCACAATTTGGGGTTTCGTCCCTCTCTTACGTGAAGGAGTATCTTGGTTTCAAGGAAAGTAGTAGGGGCGGGCTCACAGTGGCAGATTCATAATGGAAGCAGAGTTCAGGTGAAGAGGGAGACATGGATCCCTAGACCTTTGTCTTTCAAGATTGTTAGCCCATTAACAGATATAGAGGAGAATTTTTATTTGAGTTTCCGAATTGATTTTGAACGAGGCTGTTGGAAAACAAGCTTATTGGAACAACTCTTTCTTCAGTATGATGTATGGCAAATTTTGGGTATTCAAATTTGCGATCGCTAATGATAAACTGGTATGGCACACTATACCAGATCTGGGCCTCTTTTGGTGAAGAGTGCCTATCATTTGATCATGGAACGGGGCTACATGGGGGCAAACAAATAGAAGAGAATGAACTAGGTAGTAGTGAAGGCAGCTGGTTAGGTAATTTCGTTTGGTCTCTCAAGATTCCAAGTAAAATTAAAAATTTTACGTGGAGAGTTATCAGAAACATTTTGCATGTTGAAATATAAATATTTAAGTTATACTATTTTTAATAGTTTAAATTTTTGGAGTCGAAGGTTGTCTAACATAGTATCAGAACAGGAAATATTATGTTCGAATCTCTCTGTCACCTTAATTATTAAAATATTTTCACATACTAGGCTTAAAAATTAGCCAGCACTTGAGAAGGTGTGTTGAAATACAAATACTTAAGTTACACCCTCTTTAATAGTTTAAACTTTTTGAGTAAATAGTTGTCTAACAGACTCGATGCAATCTGAGGCAAAAAGGAATTCCTGTGGATTCTGAATGTTTATTATGTGAGGCCCCAAATGAGACCGTTGATCACATTTTCTTAGAGTGCCCTATGGCTGTGGCTACTTGGAATCTTGCTGGGTTTGTGTCCCCATTGGCACATGGGGTAGCAGTAAAGGAATGGCAATAGGTTTCCTCAACAAGTTGAGTTCTGAAAGACGATGCTTGGGTACTGTTATTTTATGGGTTTTATGGTTCCACAGAAATAGATTTAGACATGGAAAAATGCCTCTGCCTCCTGCTAAAATCTTGGAGTTTGCCCAAGCATACTTAAACCAGTTTTGGTCCAGCCAGATGATTGACACAAGCCTAGCTACATATGCGAAGAATTGCATGGATCTGTGCCTATGGAGAGAGGAGTGTCCTTACTTTGTAATGTCTTTGGTTCAACATGATGCACTTCGTTAACGATCAATAAAAATTTGTTTTTTCTATCAATATATATATATATATATATATATAAAATAAAATAGAACGATTTTAAATTCAAGAGACAAACAACAACTTAAATCGTTTCGAAATAAAAAAAGGCATCATCCAATGACCGATGATATTTCAAACTATCTCAATCTATTAACGTCTCAGATCGTTTCGATCCGACGTACCATATTAACTCTAAAAAAAAAATTTCACTCAAAACTTTTAGTTCCCAAAACTAACATCCCTAAATTTAATTTTTGAACTCAATCAAATCTGACAATTAAACGATCTCTCATTTCTCAACTTTGTCTCTCTCTCCCCCTAAAATACAAATTATAATTCTTATCATTATTTTTCTGATTTTATTTCCCATGTTAAGAGATCACTCTCTATATTGAGAAATTGATTGTCCTTCACACTCTCATCTTTCATAATTCTCTTTTTAAATTGAGACACGTCTCTCCAAAATTCTATCTTAATGCAGTTTCTTTCTATCTTTACTGTTCATATCACACACATATTTATTGTAAATATACATAGTACAAAGATCGAAAACATATTATATCTACATGTTATATCTAGGAAAAGTTTCATCTAAACACCATGTATGTGATTCTAAATTCAATGACAACCCCTACAACAATAACTTTTGTCTCTATCAGTAGATAAAATAATTATTTAACTAAATATTTTGTGAAAATACTAAAATTACCTTTTGTTATGTAAATAAACTAAAATGTCATCAATTCTTTTCTCATTATAAATGCACTAACCAGTCAACAAACGTAATTTCAATCATTATATTATCTCAATGAATTTTTTTATTTTAAAACGTTGTATTATAACTTTGTTATAATATTAGTCATCATATTATCTCTCATTTGGTTACATGATCAAGTTTTATAATTTTTATCATAATAATTTTTATAGTTAAAAATATTTTTTTATAATAAAAAATACAATCGATAAAGTCAATGTCAAAATTTCATCCATTTCTAATTCTTCTGCTATCATATGTCCTCCATAACATCGCCCGACCGCTCCTCACACATCATACTTCATATATAAAATTTAAAATTATTTGATAAAATTTAATATTAATTGAATAATTTGATCTTAATTTTGATAAATTTAAATATTAGTTTAATTTTAATTTGATAAAATTAAATATTAATTTAGTATTAATTTGATTGAATTTAATGTTAATTGAATAAATTTGAATGTTGTTTTAATAAAATTGAATGTTTATTTGATGTTAAATTAAAAAAATGACATTAATTTGATAAGGTTAAATTTTAAATTAACGGAATTTAATATTTTATTTAATAAATTAAATAGTTTAATTTAATAAAATTGAATGTCAATTTGATGTTGATTTGATAAAAATAAACAATAACTTAATATTAAATTAATATAACTAAATGCTAATTTGATAAAATTAAATATCAATTTTGTGTTGGTTTTATGAGATGAAATGTTAATTTAGTTTAAATTAAACAAAGAAAATTATATTAAATTAAACTATGTAATATAATTAAATTGATCAAAATAAAGACTAATATAATAGAATTAAAAGGAAGTACATTGAAATTTTAGAATAAAGAAAGGATATTGCTAAAGTTAGGTATATTTACAACCATCGTCATTAGCGATGTAATCCGACAATCACTAATAGGGAGTAACAGCGAAATTTCAAAGTCGGAAGGAGGTGTTATTGAATTTAGACCTAACTATAGGAGATTTGGATGAAATTTTCCCTTATATCTATACAAATCTATATAATAAAACACATAAGAAATTGAATTTTATCTCCTATACATTCTCTCACAGACTATCACATCATTCATTTCTATCACATGCTCAACCATTTAATATTTGATTAATTTATAATTTAACATAATTTTTATTTCAAATATTATCTATACATGATAGTATAGATCTGTTAAAAAAATTTATCGAATTACATATTTTGAAAAAATTTTGTCAATATCTTTAAGAAAAAATAATATGTAAAAATAAATTTTGAATGATTTAATCAAATAAATGAAGAAAATAAAAATTATTATTTAATATAGTGATATCAATTTTTTAAGACTCGAATTTTTTATTATATCGTGTCTTCAGTGAAGAGTTATGACTAGTATATATAGATGAAGTGAAGTTAGTATATTGATAACCTTGAGTGGACTAAAAAATTTTAGCTATGGAAAGAGAATAGAGGGTTTGTTTCGGATGTTAAAGTGGGGTGGAAATCCTTTCCAACTAACCGAATAAGGGATGAGGCACAAAGCCCCCTCCCCCCCCCCCCCCCCCC